GCTTTAGAGCCACCGTTGGATTTTCCCCACAAAAATTAATGCTGATGTGAAGCATCTGTAACAAAACGTTAAACATTATACTTTGTTGTTAAATTTGAAAAATTGAATAAATTGAACAATATATAAAACTACTTACGAACTTGGTCTTCTGGAGAAGCCTTATCCTCTTGAGCACTGACTCCAATATCGAAAACGAATATTGAACAAAAAAAAATTTGAAGAAAAAAAAATAAAAGACCAACGTGCGCGTTTAAGTAACAATCGGCGGACTCACTGACTCTAACTTCGCGAATTATAATTTAAATGAATTAATAATTTAATTTAGCAAGAGCCATTTTGCTCAGAAAAATGTAAAAATATTTCGCAACAAACACTGACTCTACTGACCGCATTGCGCGCGGTCACAAAAATTTTCTGAAAATAAAATAAGAGAGGAAGGGCAAAGGATACATTTATTTAGAACACTACTATTTTTATAGAACATGATTGTAAAGAAACGTGAATATGTATTAAAAATATTATTTGTAGATTATAAAATATTTTTCAATGATAATTTGATTAAATTTGATAATCTAATACAAGAATATATATTTGACAATATATACTGTTAAATTAACCTATATCCAAATAAAATATTAATTTATTTATTCTTTTTTTATTTTCATTCCTTTGTATTCCAAATAATTACGAAATTATGTATTGTGAATTGTATCTCAAATATATATGAACTGTATTAAATGTTAAAATGAATAAAATGTTGCCAAATTTCCGTGAAAGTTCATCGTATTGTCAATTAATGATCGTGGCGTCTATGCATTCTATGCTGTCTTTGCAACCAAAGAATAACCTGCACAAAAAAAAAACCAAAAGTTAGAACAAATATGTTAAATGAAGACAAATTTGTAAAAGTGTTGTTGTTTTTTATTTCGAATTTCGAGCTTCAAGATTTTCTTTATTTTATTGTATTACGCAATTATTTGAATTATTAAATACATACAGTCTTAATAAATTATTGTTTTTTAGTATTAGGATTGTTGTACTATGCAGCATGAAGTTAAAGAATCAACAAATAAGTAAAAAATATTACAATAGAAGTGTGTGTGCAAAATAAAATGTGTATATATATATATATATAAAACAAAGAGTTAGTCAATTACAAGGTTACAATATTTCTATTGGGCAGAATTGAAAAATTCTGATAAAATTTTGGTATAAAATTAAAAATAACTTTTATCTATATAATTATAATTTTATAAAATTATAAATAACTTTTAGCATAGTATGATCTGTTTAAACGTTTATATACTATTATTTCTTTAATTGTTGAAAATTATAAGTAGTAATTATTTGGTTAAATCTTACGTTGAAATCTTGAGTTGAGGCCAAAAATGTATGTTTTATTTTAAAAATTCACGATACAAACATAAATCTAACAACTATAGATTTAAATTTTTACCTGAAAACTTCTGGATGACACTTTTTTCTGAATGATTTTTCTGGATAATATTTTTTTCTTTACAGACGAGGCATGCTCCTTTCCGCCATGCTTCCCGTTTAAAAATCGATCATGAGAAATATCGATTATAGATTCGAGAATCGTAGGAAGTACATTGCGTATTTTACCGTTGGGGCGCTGTAATCGCAGGTTTCTTACCAAATAATAACTGGGAAAAGTAAAAAACTCTGGTCTTAATCAAATACACAAAATTCATAAAAGAATTCTTAAAACAGAATGAAAATATTCACACACTTAATGAAACATTGTCAATACTTAAAACTGAGACATGAGAAATTTTTATTTTATTATACACAGTAATTATTTTTATTACACAGTAAAATTATTAATTAGGCCATTAAATACGTCCTTAATAAATTATTATTGAATTTAGTATTAGAATTGTTAAGAATTACGAATTATTATGAGGTTAAAGAATCAACAAATGAGTAGAAAATGTTACAATAGAAGTAAAAGTATATATATATAATAAAAAGTTAGTCATATTACAAGGTTATAATATTTGCTTAGAATTGAAATTAAATTTTAATATAAAATTATAAATTACTTTTAGCATGGTTTAAATGTTTATATGCCATTATTTCATTAATTGTTGAAACTTATATGTAACAATTATTGGGTTAGATTACCTTGGGTTGAATCAAAAATACATGTTTTATCTTAAAAATTCACAACACAAAGACAAATCTAACAATTATTGATTTATATTTTTACTTGAGAACTTTTGGATGATATTTCTTCCTGGGTGATTCTTCTGGATAATACTTCTTGCTTTACAGATGAGGCATGCTCTTTTCCGCCATGCTTCCCGCTTAAAAATCGATCGTGAGAAATATCGATATTTGAGAATCGTAGAATGTGCATTGCATTTTTCACCGTTAGGGCGCTGTAATCGCGTGTTTCACCAAATAATAACTTGAAATAAAAAATAAAAAACTCTGGTCTTAATCAAATATACAAAATTCATGAGAAATTCTTAAAAAAAGAACAAAGATATTCATACACTAGATAAAAAATTGTCAGTACTTTAAACTGTTATAATTTCCTGAAAAAAAATTGTAGAACAATTAACTTGATCTTACTTCAAAAAGTGAAGTTTAGTCCACTTTCTGAGTTTATTTATTAATCCTGAGTTTATTTCATTCAAAGGTATTTATTTTTACATCATGCAGCAAGTGTAAAAGTCAGAATATTTTTCTTCTCGAAAATTATAAAAATTCAAACATCTCACCGAAAAGATTTTTCCATCACTGAACAATTTTTTTCATGATCAGATTAATCATAATCTTTAAAATTGAAATTTTCCTTTTATAGTGAACTTCTAAAATTAGCTATACGATCATTTCATTGAACTTTAAACAATAATTCATTTTAGCGAGTTATAATAACAAATAATCTCATATATGAGTCATTAAATTTGTCTGTGACCTCGTCCGTCTCGGAAAGAATAGCGGAGTGTATGATCTGTCTCGGGTCAGTGCTTAATTTGATCACGAGGTGGTAGCACCGAGTATGGTTCTCTACGTGAAGGATATTGAAATATCATGAATGTTCGTATATTCAAATCTCATTGTGATTTGAGCGAAGGACTATAGTAATAAAAGGAACGCGATAGGTTCGCGAAGATAATACAATGCACCAAACAGATAAGAGGCGTTTCTCCCTCTGATGCAAAACAGTTGATATTGACAGCTCGATCCGGGATAACCTCTTGCTCCAATCGACAGCTAGAGGCAACGCTTGTCACGTTTTAACTCGACGATTACCGAAACGTTTTGCGACGATGGCATGTCTTTTGTTGAATCAGGAGAACGTGCACATTAAAATACCATCGGCTGACACTGTTGACGGCATCACTTATTACTGCATCGAGGTTAGGATTGCTTCGATCAAATGGACTGTAAAGCACAGGTGAGCGTTTCCGATTTACCTATTTTGACATATCGTTTTATTTTTTTATTTTGCAGTTTCTTTAAATCTTCAATATGCCTAGTCTTATTGTCAGTATTCTACATTATATAAAAAATAATTTGGTTATTGTACATGAAATTCATTATATATCGTCAAAAATTTATCGTATAAAACAGATAAATATACTTGTTTGGAACTGGTTTAATCTAAAGTGCAATAAAATAACCTAACTTGTTTTTTGATGATTAATTAACTTGTTTTTTTGATGAATTTCTGATGATTATTGTATCATACACTTGCACACACATTCATCACGTTCATCGTTATCGTATATTGAATAATTTCAAGATTATACCATAAGTAACTTAATATATGAAATTAAATTTTTATTTCTTGTATTTTTACAGATACAATGACTTTGCTGAGCTTCATGATAAACTTGTCTCAGAGAATTATGTTAAAAAAGATATATTGCCACCAAAGAAACTTATTGGAAATAAGTGTGAAGCTTTTGTAGAAAAACGTAGACTCAACTTAGAGATCTATCTGAATGAAGTGTACAATTATTTGAAGAAAGCAATGCCTAGAGAATTGGCTGTATTTCTGCATATGCACATATATGACATATTTTTCCTACTGCAGAGTATGGCTTTAGAATTTTTTACAGAGGGCAACAATTTGCTACAAAAGTCTAAGACTTACAAGTTTAATTTAATACAGGTGATTGTCTTAAACAAATAAATTATATGCTATTTGTCATATGCTCGAATAAAAAGTAATACAATCATTTTCTTTCAGCTATATGCGATTAGCGAGAGATTAAAACAACCCTGTCCACCGATTGAAGTTGTTGACAGAAAATATGATTTCAGTCATGTTTTGGACTTTAATTCTCATTTGACTGGTCTCATCGTTGAAGGAAGCTCAGAGCCTTATAGAACCAGCAATATTTATTCCTCAGCGTTATCCATCGAACTATCAAGTTTCAAGAATATAGAAGAATTAACTATCAATCAGTATCCAGTAGATAAAATATACAATATGGGCAATCTTCGCGACACAGTGAAGTATTTGAAAGTAAACAACACGAAGCTCAGGAATATCGTCGAATTGGCGATGTGCGAAGAAGTGCACAAGAATATCGAAAATGCGAATGATTCTCATGTCTGGTTCAAGGTCACTCATTTGGATCTCAGCGATAATAGGATAGAAGTGATTGATGAAGCGATTAAATTATTACCTCAAATCGAATGCTTGACTTTAAACAATAATCTGCTCTCTGAAATTTCGAATGTCACCCTATTGCCGAGATTGTCCCAGTTGTACCTGGCGTCGAACAATTTCTCAACTCTACCGGATGATCTGCATACGAAACTTGGTTATATAGTGTACATTGACCTCTCTCAGAACAAATTAACATCGTTATCGAGTTTCTCGAAATTGTATTCATTAGAAGGCTTAGACGTGAGTTGCAATCGTATCGAGAGGATCGAAGAGGTGAAGAACATTGGGCATCTGCCTTGTTTGGAGAATTTGAGATTAACTGGAAATCCAGTGTCGACAATTGTCGACTACAGGGTGAAAGTATTGGAGCCGTTTGGGAAAAGGGCGGCGGACATTTGTTTAGACAATGAAAAACCAAATCAGAAAGAGCTGGACACTGTTTCAGTTCACCAAGCGTTACGCATTGCAAGAGAAGGAAAATCACCCACATTCACTGCTTCTGATGCGCCTTTGTTCTCCGCGGAAATTCCAAATATATAGGATCGGGTAAATTATGATATTTCAAACGAAGAATTTCCATAAAAATAGATTTTGGTATGGACTTATTATTGATCTGAATTTTTTTCGAGAATATGAAAGAATCTTTTTATACGTTTGAATTTTAATAAAACGTAAACCACCAATACTATACATCTTTCCCATGCTCTAGAAGTAACATTACATTAATAAAATAGAATTTAATTGATTTAGGCGAAAAGATTTGTAAATGAAATTAAACTCTTGTTAAAAACGGCGAACATTCAAGATTCGTTCGTGTGTCGTCTATAGTGTTTTTATATGATATTTATTATCCGTCTACCGTGTCGGTGCTTTTTATTACCTTTTAATATGTAACCTAATCAGTATAATATATACCAAAACAATAACCTATAGCTTAAGCCTTAGGTCGTGAATCTTAGATGTCTTTATTCAGTCTAAATATTAAAGAAATTTGAATAATAATTAAGGAAATAATCAGTCTCTGTTCGAGGATAACGTGCCACTTGTCTATATAAAAATGAAATTTGTAAAATTCTGCTGTGTACATAATTATTTTTAAATTGTATATTACGTATTATCGTCATATATGTATTTTTTATACGAACTCCGAATGCGAAATAGAAGACTCGAATAGACGATATGTATTTATTTATAATTTATTGCATCGGGAAATTTGGTTTGTATTATACAAATAATTTACGTAGTGATTCTCAAACTCTATTTATACTTCGCGCAATGAATGTAAGTAATTTGCAGAAATAAGAAAAATTTGTATTGAAAATTGCTGCTTCTACTAGTAATTATCTTGAATGATATTTAATTATTGTTATGCATTTGCAAACAATATTTACATTGCATTCTACGTATTATCTATGATGCGATTGAAAATACCCTTGAATCAATGCGACCACACGGATCATCAATGTTTATTATTTATTGTGTAAATCTTTAAAACAATATTATTTTGAAAGGTGTAACCGCGTTTGGTGTAACAATTTTATAATGGTTCAACATAAACTACATATGTATATAAGAAGATCGAATATTTTGTTAATAAATAATTTGAAATCAATAAACTGTGATAATTCGTTGATAAGGTTTTTTCTTTGTTAATTTTCAATTGTTGATGATAATCAATTGTAATTAAATGGCTAACAATAAGTTATTTCCATTCTGAGTGAACTAAAAAACTTAGACGAACTGGTTAATTTTTAAGTTCATTTTTATTTAAACTTTCACATTGCTCGCATTACCTTTTAAATATCATACGTATCTCGATAATAGTAAAATATTCATAAATAATAATAATAATAATCATAATTGTAATAATGATCATTACAATGCTTAACATACTCTAAGCATTCTCGTGTTATAGTCTTTTAATGTAGTACACCTAAAAATTAACACATACGTTAAGTTACCGTTTTACAGATCATCGTTTACGGATTTTTGCGTTATGTTGAATTTTTTTTTTTCCTGACAAACCTCGAGATTTTTGCACAAGCCTCGCAATGATTTTTCCTATGTTATTCGTGCCTTTCACGAAACACAACCTAGCAACACTTGCAATTCTTTATTTTTTTTTTTTTTTTCTTTTTAATTAAAGGCAATGCGTGTTTCCAAGAAGGAAATGTTACCTCTAAACAGGAAATGTCATATCAAAGCATCGAAAAAAGCTGGTCGGTACCAAAAAGGAAGAATAATAATTTATCAAATATTTTTCTTTGATTTCCTACACGTTATACGACGTCCATGCGCCGTTTATATCTTAACATTACAATCGCTGCTATATATATTTATATATAATATATGTATTTTTCTTTTCATTGATCTTAATGAACTACGATCTTCGAACTGATTTTACAAATCGATTCTTCCGGTTGGAGTATTATCGGCTGATAACAATCATAAAAACACGTGTATATGTGTGTGTGTGTATGTGTGTGTGTATATCAAAGCGGCAAAAAGCTGATCGAAAAAAGACACTGCATATCAAACACTTAGATAGTAATTTTCTTTATATATATAAAATTAGGCGGTTCGTTTGACGGACATCGAATGTGCTCGTCACATTTCTACAACCTCCGAATAAAGGATTCGTTTCATTAATCATTTGATTATCATTTCCTATAATAGCCCTTTCAACTTACAGATTTGGTTTTGATCACATCGGATAATGAAGATTTTCGCTGGGCGGGGGAAAAAAAAAAAAAATGTGAAACATTTCTGAAACGGGACTGAACATTTTGATACTTTTTTTTATTAGTTCAATATTTTTGTTTCATTCTCTCGAAAGAGAATAGACTTTCTTTTTTCTTGTACAACGCGGAGGCTCTCGATTAAATTAGACGAAAAACTACATTTTCGAAATTATGTTTCGCTGCGAACCTTGCTTTCCTGCTAATATAATAATCCATCGTCGCGATTCATCACGTCGTTTATCTTCAAATTTCAACTCTGAGTGTAGAATATTCGTTTCAATGAGAAAGTGAACGGAACGGATGAAAATACATAAAATTTATTCGGGGTGAAGGAAACCTTGGCGGAGAAGAGAAACGAAAGTTACGAAAAGTTCACAGCGCAAGATTCATCGTGTAGGATAGTGAAAAAAATAAAGCAAGAGAAGAGGATAGAAAGGGAAAGGGAAAGGGAAAATATAATAAAGAAATGGTCTTACGGGAGAATTGATGGAAGGAGCAGGAAAGGAGCGATCTGACAAATACACGAATGATGGAGTTTTGAAGGGAGTTTTTAAGGATCGTTTTCTCGCGTATCCATCCGGTCGACTGGGCATCTACTGGTGCGCGATCGGAATAAGCTTCTCGCCTGTGCCGATTGCCGGAAGCGGAGCCTCGACGGTGAGCACGCCATCCTTGCTAAGCGAAGACTTGATGCTCTCGGGGTTGGTTCCTTTGGGGAGCAGGAATTCGCGATTGTACTCCCTGTACACGGATTTGCTTTCTGTTTTCTCCTCGTGTTTCGCGTGGACCTGGACAGATGAAAATCAGGCGGTTTAGAATGGAGCTCGTTGTTTCTTAAACGTATATTACAAATACGTGTGTAACGAATATGCACACGTGTACATATGTACGTTTCTGATACAAGCATACATCTATCGACACATTCAAATTTGTAGGATTATCAATGTATGAGAAGATATATACATATATGAAATAATCAGTATACGGGTATCACATATATTTTGATACACGGATTAAAACACGAATATATTAAATATATATGTATAATTGAGATCTCTAGTTTAGAATAATATTTTTACATATTTATGCATACAATATAAAATATAAAATATTTGAACTGAAGTATTTATTATAATATGCACGATACACAACTTTCAAGTTATACAATGTGATAGAAGATTAACTCGTGTTCTCTTCACTATTGTCATGAGAATTTCACAAAACGAAAGAAATGTTCTCCAATTCGACTTGAATTCAATTTGAAAGTATTTCGCAATTAAAGTGACCGATATTTCATTTCCCGGGAAATTTGTCAATTTTCTTGCACAGACAAACTAATAGAAGGCCAGGAATCCAGGTCGCCGGTTCGATTTAGTGTCCGTATTAATAAATCAGCTAGGACAGACCCATTTCTGCGATCACGCGAGCTGCATGCTAAAAGCGATCGACGTTGCTCCGCTCGTGGTCAACGGATGCGATAACATAGAACGCACGAGGGTGATTATGGCAGCGTATTTCATTCAAATGTACACTGGCGAATTTCTTATCCGTATTCAGAATATAAAGGGTGTAAAATTGTTTGCGAGTAAAATTGCCTTTTGCGTGATGATAAGTCCTATAGATAATTAACAGCGGTTGAAAAAACATTGGCAAACATTCTAATAATAATTATATACGATGTCTATCATGTAGCAGGAAAACATCCGTTCAATAACGCCGTATCTCTCGATCATGCTCAGTTTCCAAATTCTCTTTCTTATTGCACGCATATACTGAAGGTTCGTATTTTATGGATCCCCAAATATACGAGTTACGGGTCTAATTAACATATTCATATATATTTTAATTCGCAATATTTAGTACACGGATAGGAAGTGCAATTAATGTGTCTGCGTTTTAATCTGTTTCGAAATCAGAATCATTTCGAGAATAAATACAAGAAAAATATAATAAAATATATGATACAAGAAAAATATAATAAAATAGATTTAATCATGTTGCTTGCTAAGACAGTAGGGTAACAAATGAATATATCGGATTTTTATGCAAATTCTTATTTTGAAGATTAACGAAGAACTATTAAATTTTAAAATATTAAACTTTATTAAAAATTAT